TATATATTTATATATACAGTAATGATATAAAAAAATATGTTTTCATAAATATATTTTTCAAATTGGAAGACATTTCTTTTTCAGAATTATATTGAAAGAAGCTACATAAGAAGTGAAGGGAAAAATTACAGTAATGACGGATGAATTAAAATTAATATTTACTTTTACTTTCAGTAATTCAAACAGTAATAATTGTTTTATTAGTTTTTAAGATATACATAGAAATTACAAAATAAAAACTATGAATTAAATACTACAGTTTGCATAATTTTATGTAAAACAAAATTAATTTCATGATAATATGGATTGAGGAGCTGATAATTTTCTAATGTAAATCTGAAATATACTATATGAATTAAAATATCATATTCATACATATTTCTAAATGTAATTCAAATATAATTTTTTCAAAATATTGCATAATTAATAAAATTTAAGGAATGAAAGTAGAATAAATAGCATGTATTAATACAAAATTTTTAGTCAGCAATTTAAATGATCAATTAACTCAAAAAATATTGGAAAGTTCAGAGAACATTTACAATTTTCCAATTTGTTTGTTTTATATTCTAAATGTAATATATTTTTCTTAATCATAATTTATAAGCAGTTTAACATTAAATATAATTATAATTGGATATAAAAATTTATAATTATGTAGCTAATTTTAAATCTGAAAGTGAAAATCTGATATTCATATTCATTAACAGGTTTCATACATTCATTATTGACAATGTGTAACTTACTATTTCCATTAAGTTATTTAAAAAATTCTAATAATTAACTTATTTTTGTTTTTGTAAAAAAAAACCTCAAATTTAAAATAATTGCAATAAATAGCATATAAGTATTCCAATTGTATTCTGTTCTATTAATAAAACAATTAATTATTCATTTCATATTAATTAGATACCTTTTTTCTCACTTGAAGATAAAAACATGGCTAAAGTTTTGAATCTTCCAACTTGAGTCAAATTTTTTAAATATAAAAATGAATCTTCATTCCTAAAAATTAAAACCAAATTTGTATTACATTTTAACATAGTTTATAACTTCTGCACATGTAAATATAAAAGGTTAAGCATTTTTAATATAAAAAGTATCAGTATAAAAATATACATACTCATTAAGATGATCATTAAGAATCATAATTACATTTGAAAATATATCCATTTCCATTGACTGATGAAATAACTTTGGAATGAGCTCAGGAGATAATTTCTGTTTAATAAAAGAAAAGTACAGTTAAAAATATTAAAATGAAATTCTTCTAAGATAAAAAAAGTTTTATAAATTAAATGTTGATTTTACTCATAAGAAGCAATAAAATATTTTACTGTAATTTCTATTAAGATCTAAGCCTAACACACATTAACTTTAGTAATTATTGTTTCTAAAATGTGGCAAAATTAAGGCAGTATTGAATATCAGTGACCGATGCCACCAATTCCCTCTGACCTTGACAATTAAAATAGATCATTGCTTGAATCTGTCATCAACATTGAATGTTGCCTTAATTTTTCCTTCTATGAGAATTTCTGCCTTAATTAATTCGTTATACAGTAATACCCCAAACTTATGCAATAGGTGGGACTGAGCGATAACCGCTTAAGTCGAATTCACATAAGTCAGGGTATAATTTTGCAATTTGTGTAAAATCCAAGTCGGATGTATGTAGGCCAATAAATGTTCTCATTAATCTTATCTCGTCTTTTGATTCATTCACGGTTACAAGAAATCACCACATAGAGTTTCTCAAGGCTCCATAGATATAACAAACACAGAAATAAATAACACAAAATAAATTGTAGCTATGTGTCGATTCCGCGCAACATGTCTGAACATGTAAGCTAAACAATAGTGTGGGGGGAGTGAGTAATCAAGAGTTGCATGGCACTCAAACAAAAGACAAATCGACGAGATTTGAAAATCGCGTAACTCCGGGTTCACGTAAGTTGGGGTAGCGTAAGTCGAGGTATTACTGTACTTTTTATTAATTGATCTTTTTAATGTACCTTCATAGGAAAATTACCACTCAATAATTTGAATTATTCTGTAGTTATTTCTTAATGATAAAATAAATATTGCATTACATATAAAATTTTTATTCTTATTTTATTGAAAATATTTATTATAGGCTTTAATGCAAAATGTCTTTATTATTTAAGAAAATAAATGCAAACACTTTTATTTTTAAAAACTAAAATGTGATTATGGTACAGTATATTGTATACAGAATTGCATACAACTAAAACTATAAATTTATCGTAAAATTTATTTATTAATAAACAAAATGAAAGACTTAAATGATAAAATTTATTTGAAGATCTTAATTCTGATAAAAATTGCAAATTCTATTAATTCCTATAACCTATAAAAAAGTCAAGTGCTGAAAACTATATTTAAAAATTTAAATATTGCAAAATAAATTGAAAGTTGTTTTGATAATAATATACACAGAATATGTTAAGGTAAAATTATTTCTAATTCATTAAGTTACTTAAGGTTGCATATGAATTGCATTTACATTATATACATCACTATGAACTTTACTTAATTAACCCTTAACGCCCAATGACGAGATAACTCATCAAGGTTACATAGCGTTAAGTAAAATTCGGTAGTTAAGGCCACTTTTGACAAAAAATTTTTTTTTTCAATTTTTGGAATGTTTTTTATGCAGACTAACTCTATTACATCTGTTTTACTACTTAATTTCATTTAAAATAATTAGAAGCAAACATAGGCCCAATTTGTTCTTGTTGTAGTGGTTGCTCCTCTCTGCCATTCTAGCTATTGAATTTATCCTCATCCAGAATAAAAATGCTTCTGAAAAACTTTTTGAATTGACGTTCTTTCATTGATTTCCAATTAGGTTTTCATTTTATGCTACTAACAGAAACATTATTGTAAATTAAATTTTTGGTCAGGAGAACTGGTATTATTTCTTTCAAATAAAATTGCATCTAAGCAAAGGATTCAGATGGGTAGATGAGAAAAACAAAAAACGATGTTTGATTAAATAACTCTACTTATGTCTGATTTAGTATTGTCTACTCAGGTACTCATTTCTGCATGAAAAATTAACAGTGAAGGTATTTACACAAAAACTGTGTATCAGGAATTCAGAACAAGTCTTACATTAATAAATTTTACGTAAATAAATTTATTTACTTTGTTATTTTCCATTTATTTATAATCTAAGAAGCAAACATTTTATTGAGTTTAACTAGTATAGAACTTACATATCATGGGTATAGTACCACAAGCAGTTAACTCTAAATTTTTCAGTTTTTCAATAATAGAGTATTTCTATTATATTCAGCATATTTAAAATTTCAAATGATTACCTAAAATAGCTAATTCAAATTGGACCAACCAACCAAAATATGTGAACTTTCTGAAAATTACGATTTCACGGTTAGCTGCTTACGTTCTATATCCAGGATAAACGACTTTAATAAAATATCAAAATATAGCATAATAATTGAAATTGTAAAATAAGCTATTACTTAAATATAACTGTGCTTTACCTTTAAATATTTATATTGTAAATCTGGATAATTTCGAAGTGTTTGCCAATGTGCATAGAATTGATAAGCTGTTTGTGGTTTAGATGGAATTGATGGTAATTCTTTCCTAATGTATTTTGTTGTTTCAGGGATGGATGTGTTAGAATTTTTAGTTGTAGAATTATTTGTTAATGAATTAGGAGATGTAGTTGAATTTTCTTCTACACTTTCATCACTATCACTTAACACTTCTTCAATTTCTATCTTTTTCAGTGGTTTCTAAAATTGAAAATTCAAACATCAAATAACAAAACTGTATTTTTAAATTAAATGAATATCAGAAAAAATTAAAACTAATGAATTAATAATTTTTAATTCTTTTTGATCAAATGCTGAAATTTTCTTATCTTAATACAAAAACTATTGTTATGAACTAAATAATATTTAAAGTAATATATTACAAAATAAATATATTTGTATGATACTTTTTTATAAGAATAAAAAATTATTATTTATCTTTTTCGAAATAATTTTATTCACGTGAAATTCTAAACTATTATTTGCTCACGCTAAACATATTCATTATTTTATTTGCTTATTGTATTATTATTCAAATAATAACACAATTATTAAATTATTAGCATTCATCAATTTCATTTATTGATGTTTATGGCTTTCTCTTTATCATATTAATCAATGGATTTTTTAGAGGTTCTGATCTTCAAGTATCACAATTTCCAGAAGAAAAATAGTATAGAAAATATCTTCAGATGGTTGGCAATGTTTCTTTTTCATAATCTATAGAAATTTAATATTGGGCGATTAATTCTGAACATTTCAATAGGACAATTTCATCTCAGATTATCACTACAGGACTGACTTTCTGGATTTATGCTCTTTTACACCTTTTTTGTTTGTTTTATTTTCTACTTACATAAACCACTCTGTAGATATAAAATTTAAAAAAGCTCTAGAATACTATACAATATATGGAAATCTCTATTAATATTTCTTATCATTTTAAGACCACAGTATGTACAAAATGCCATTTAAATACTGAAATTGTTACTATAACAAACACAAAATATTTATTTTTAAAAATAAGAAAACTATTTACACATTTTCAAATAATTGCCTGCCACCATTAAACACCACTGACATCGACTGTGGAGATTGTCAAAGGTGCACTGGAAGTCCTTAATAGGGATGATGTTTAGTCACTCAGTCAATGCCTTCTGGATGCTTGACATGTTATCAAAATGTTTATTATTCAAAACAAATTTTATTCCAGAAAATAAGAAAAGTTTCCAGGATTCAAATCTAGCAAATAGGATGGATGTTGAATGACTATGGCTTATGTGGAGGCCAAAAACTTTATAACAAGTAGCACAATATGAGCAGATGCATTATCATGCAACAGAAACCAATTATTGTTGACATCATTCATTTCTCACTCACTGCATTTGCAAATAAAATGATAATGATATAGATATAACAAAACATCAAAGATATTATAAAAGCTTTTGAAATATTGTGCAACTATTAATCTTTTGTCACTATTATTTATAGAAATAGTTTTATTTATATCTACAGAAATATACATATTACTATTCCATAAATTCTTATACTACAGCAAAAATACCTATGATAAAACAGTTCTAAATATACAAGTAAAAAGACTGTATTAGCTGTAAATCTATACCTTAAAAATAATAAATTATTTTAAACATTATTACTATACATACAAAAATATATATAAACAATAGGTTAAAACTACACAGGTTTTTGTCAGTTTAACTACAAATTTTATAGAATAAAAATTAATTAAAAATCAAATAAATCTAAAAATGTCTTTTCTCAAAATCAGCAGAAAGCAAAAGAAAAAAAAAAATTATAATTGAAAGAAGTTTCATCTTACCTTGGAACGTAAATGAGGTGGTTTATATATAGGTTTGACAATACTTTTGTCTTCTTGACTAGTTTCTGTATTAGATTTTTCATTATCACCACTAGGCCAAATTGCTTGAATAACTTCTTTTTCATTAGTTTTCATCATTTCTTGATCTTTTTGATTATTTTTTTTAATTTCCTATTTAAAATGATTATTATATATTAAATTTTAATGCATAAAAAATTAAATAGATGTTTTAATTTTAATAATCAATGATCATATAAACTTGTCTAAAAATAAAAATATCATTTGCTCTATTATTGAAATATAACAAAAATAATATACAGATGAACATAAAGATAATTTACTACTTTACAAGTGAAGAATATATATTTGTATTGATATTCAGGAAAATACCAATATTTATTTGATGTAATAGGTTGCAGCCAACATTTTCAGCCCAAAACGTGAACGTTGGATGTCGAGCAATGCCATCTGGCAATTCTAGAAGGTTGATAATGGCGTTCGCTACGTCTAGCATGGCGAGTAGAAGTTTGGCTTAAACTTCATTTTTTTTGTGTTTGGAGTTAAAATTATGATGTATTTTATTAAAATAATGACAATTTAAGCATTTACGAATAATATTGTAAAGAAACAGAAGATTTTAATCCACAATTTATTTGTGTTCATAATAGCTTATCATAATTCTGTAGGAGTAGGTTTGTTCTTTCACAGCATCTTCTACCATCAACAGTGTAATACGTTTGTAAATTTTCTAAAAATAATTTCCCAAGCTGCTTTTGGATTTACATAAGCCACTACTTCCCTCAACAAAAGTATGAGGTAGTCCTATCGTCCTATCATACGGTAGGAGACACGATGCTAATTAAAAATAATTATTTAGTGTTATTAAACATCCTATAAATACTTTAAAATAGTTTAATTTGTTTATTTACTTTTGCTGGTAACATTCGTCATTGTTAAACGTTTCCGCCATTTTTCAATAATATCCCATGAGTCAGTGCATGACGTGAACATGTTTTACTTCAAGTTCAAATGTCAAACGTGTACTTCTGCTTGCCGTACAAGTTTAACATTTGAACTTCAGTAGCAACCTCTCTATTAACTCGAAAATGGACTGAATACAAGATATGCATCTTTGGTAACACATATGAAAGCCAATCAATATTCCAATTCTGTCCATATTTGATATAGCATGCACCAGTTTACAGTGGCAATAACATTTGTTATTCTGGTCTTTAATACTCTCTTGGTCTTTGACCTACCCTCACAAAACAGTCCAGGGATATAATGTTGAGAGACCTAGAAGACCACAGAATTGATCTACCTCTGCCAATCCAATGTTCTGGAAATGTTAGGTCCAGGAATCTTCTCACAATCAAAGCCTAATGTGGTAGTAAAGTCATCTTGTTAGAAACTGATTGTAGTTTAAAGTGTATGCCAATTGTGTTGTCAGGTATTGCTCTAGCATATCAAGGTAATTATGTGCACTAACTGCCATTTTGGTAAAAAAGGAGTCACTAATGCAGTCAACTATCAAACAGCTAAGTTATATATTAAAAACAACAGAGGCTAGAATGATAACATATACAATTGTGTTTGATAACTGTCTGCAAGTAGTATAAAACTAGTAAAGTTGCCCAAAGCTAGTGTAAGATTGAGAATTATCAACTTGTTTACTTAATTATATAACACTCACCAAATAAACCATCACCAGTTCATAACCAAACAGAAAAATTCTTTCTACGAACGTTTTCATCTATATGTAATAGACATCCTCAGGTATTGACGATATCAAACTAACGGCTAGTAGAATAGAGTGTTTTTGAAAGTTCCATTTAACTACTCTATTCTACTAGCCGTTAGTTTGATACCGTCAATACTTGAGGATGTCTATTACATATAGATGAAAACGTTCGTAGAAAGAATTTTTCTGTTTGGTTATGAACTTATGATGGTTTATTTGGTGAGTGTTATATAATTAAGTACCCAGTTTTTTGAAATACAGTATATTGTTTACTTAATTCTTCCTTAATCTTTATTTCAAATATGTTACTTGCCCATTTAGTAGTAAAAAAAACAGACTTTTTATAAACATAATCACATTTGATATTTCCTATGAAGATAGCTAAAAGTTTAAAAAAAAAAAACCAAAACTGAATTATCAATTTCACTCCATTTGATGGTATATATAAATTAAATTTTACAGTTCAAGAGCTCAATGTCCATTTCCATATGTTGGAAATAAAAAAAATGTCCTTAGAGTTCATATAAGAGCCATTCAAAGTTTGCTTGTCAATTTGTGTGGATTCTGGCTAAACTGGCAAACATGGGGTCTGTAAAGTACTTTAAAAGTCTTCATCTCATATGTATCATTTTATTACTTTGTGCTTATGAAATCCTTAATTAATTGCATAATACAGTAAAATTTCAACACCACCAGTTTAATGAAATTTTCAGTATTACAAATTTATCTTGAATTTCCTGCCAATTTCCTATTCAGCTCAATGCAAAAAATGTTTCAATTTAATAAATACAATTATAATGAAATCTATAAATGCATAAAGCATTCATTTTTGTAAATGATGAATATTATGTCAAACAATCTAGCAACATTAATTTTAATCCTTCGTTAGTTTTGTTTGGTGCTGGATATAAATAATAAATAAATAATACATAAATAAATAACTGGAGATTAATCTCCAGTTATTTATTTTAAAATTACAAGAAAAAATGAAGAAAAACAAAAGAAATGAAAAGAGTTTTCTTTGGAAGAGAAGAAAAAAATATTAGAAGACATGCAAACAGGAATTAAATAAAATGATATGCCAGATGGTATACTGTATTGTGGCATAAAGTACAGGATTTTGTTGAAAAAAAACTTTGATTAAACAAAATTACAGACTTCTTTTAGCTGAAAATAATGGTTTCAAGCAGCAACAACAACAATTACAGATGCAGGATTCCAACTAATCAGTACTCCTGTTTTGCTATTTTATACATTTGCTCACTCACGATATTTTTGATAACTTAATTTTTTATTACAGCATTAATTTTTATTCTGTATTTAATACAACATATATTCTGAAAATGTGAAATTTGGCTCTATTAAATAGTAAAAAATAAATTGCATTTTTAAAAACTTTTTTACTTCAAAATGTAAACATTACTAAATACCAATCGTATGCCGAAAATCTATCGGGCTAGTTTTAGCCTAATTACTAAATGAATTAAGTAACCAATTTGGCTCTGGAGGTAGGCGTTAGGTGCCCTCTCTTATTAATATTATTAATTATAAATAAATTAATTAATTTAAATAATTTAAAACCGCTGGGAGAAAAAAATCGGCCCGGAGCGGGACTCAAACCCACAACTCCTGCTTACCGTGCAGATGCATTGCCAGTTACGCTATCCGGACCTCCAGTCCGATCTCCTATTCCAGCGTATATATCTATGTAACCATCGACGGTTATTACAACGCCGGCTGGGGACACATTCAGTGCCCACGTCCTACAAGGCACTCAACCGGCCATCACAAGCCCCGGCAAGGCGTAATATATACAAACATCTCTAAACCCGATATAATATAGCTAAACACCAAACGTATGCCGAAAATCTATCGGGCTAGTTTAAGGATAATTACTAAATAAATTACGTAACCAATTTGGCTCTAGATNTCTAAATTATTTAAATTAATTAATTTATTTATAATTATTAATATTAATAAGAGATGGCGCCTAATGCCTACCTCTAGAGCCAAATTGGTTACGTAATTCATTTAGTAATTAGCCTAAAACTAGCCCGATAGATTTTCGGCATACGATTGGTATTTAGTTATGTTATATATCGGGTTTAGAATATTTGTTTATAATGTAAACATTTTTTTATCCTTGCATTTTTGATTATTTCAATATAACGAAACTCACTATAACAAAAACATTTCAATGGTTTCCACAATTCCCTAATACTGACATTTTACTATAATAGAACATAGCTCAATATTATTAATATTTATTTTAATACTAAAACCAAAAAGAAAATAGTTATTAAAAAGTAATATGTTTTTGTTATCAATTAAGTGTGTTTTATTGCTATTACTTATATCATTTCAAAATCATAAGTTTTTAAAATATAGACTGATTATTAACAAACCTTTTCAATCCTTAATAATTCATTTTTTGCTTGTTTATTATCTGGATCTAATTCTAAAACTTTTTCAAAATCTTCTTTAGCTAATTCAAATTTCTTAAGTCCAAATCTAGCACAGCCTCTTCGTAGATACGCTTTAACATATGTTGAATCAATAGAAAGTGCTAAATCACAATCAACTTCCGCAGCTGCTAATCTGTTAAAAATTAATTTTTATGTTTTAAAATCCTTAATAGTTTTTAATAAATAAATATATGACAACTCAAACTATATTTGACTTTTTACATTTTTACAATAATTCATAATTATTTTACATTAATTCACTAACATTTTTTATTAGTACAAAAATACAGTGACTATAGTTTCGTTAATTATAAACTGTAATAATTAGCCAATTATCAATACACTTTTTTTATGTAATATGATTTACTATTTTTCATTTTAATGTTTTTATGAATAAATTAATTTCAATAGTAGATACAAAAATATATATAGTTTAAAATATTTTGCTAAAATTAGATAGTTGTGAAATACTTATATAGATAGTTCTATTAAAAAACAGCGTTCTAATTGAAAAGCAAAATTAAAAATTATATCTAGACTAACATTACTAAATAACAAATGATAACAAAAACTTCATTTCAAAAAACATCCTTTAACATTCTTTAAACTAATCTAAAGACATCATACCTTTTTAGACATTAAATTTATATTAATAATAGTCTGCTTTACTGAAGCTCATTTATAAATATATCAACATCGTGAAGCCTGATACATATATAGAAACATAATCAAACAATCGGGCTGTAACTCTGCTAATTTAATGATTAATACTAATTAATTTGCTACTAGAGGTACACATTAGACACCATCTCTTAACTAAATTAATATTTATAATTTTAATAATTTATTAAATAATTTAGAACCATCTTGAAGAAAACTGACCCAGAGCAGGGCTTGAACCTGCAATCTCCACTTTTCTTGTGATGTTTGCCAGTTGTGCCACCCAGACCACGAGCAAGCCTTCACTTCCAGATGTATATAAATTTAGATATAACCTTATACAGTTAATCATGCCTAACATCTACCTCTAGTAGCAAATTACTTAGTATTAATCATTAAATTAGCAGAGTTATAGCCCAATTATTTAAGATGATCATTTAATTATGAAGCTCATTTACATTGAATAATAGTTTCTCCAGTACATTCAGCCAATCAAGTCCATTTTCAGGACAAAAACAAGTTAGTCAGGATTTGGGTATCTCCTGACAAAGATTATGTAAAAGTACAAGAGAAACTATTTGTAAATGTAAGTAAACTTCAATAAAACAGTACTTTATTTTAAGAAATTGGTGTTGTTTTTATTAAATTTGTATTATTATTATTTACTACACTGATAATATGTAATAAATTTAACATTTTTATGATCTAATTTATTATCTGTTTACATACTTAAATAGAACTTTTAAATAGGATAAGTTGTGCTTTAAAAACTCAAGAGCTGTAAAAGAAAAATAAAACCTAATCTTCAGCTGTTTTGTAAAAATCTGCCTTATAATTCTGCTGAAATGAATTCTTTAAAAATCCATACTGTTATCTGCTTACTTTCAGGTAGTCAATACTGTATTAATCCTGATAAATTAAATTTATTTGAAAGATTAAAAATGACTACAAACTTTATATTTCTGTTTTTAACAAATTTAAGTGATAAATTTTTTAACAAACAGATAACCTGTACCAATTTTGTAAATAAAACAAAATTACAAATAGTTATCACAAATGTTGATTTAATGGTATACATAAATATAAAAATAGGAATTAATAACTGTTACAAGCACTTTTGCTAATTCATCTTCCTGTAAAAATGGAACAGAACATATACACAACAATAATGCTATAGTATAAACTATAGTATTATTATCCAAAATATTATCCTTGTTACAGGAGAGCAATATATAGTTTTGATTAGTCTGCAAATAATAAAACTATTGCATTTCAGTAATTTATTACTATTACATCATAAATGTTTATAATTTAATTTTTTAAATTTACAATAATGTAAACTTTTTAAATATTTTGCTTGCATATGTATTCTATGTATAATGTGCTAAAAAAAAACTCTCTTCACCCTCTGGGCACTAAGGCCTTTTTAGTAAGTTCATTACGGGCTTGGCCAGGCCCACAATGGAGTAGCCAAGTGGTGAGAGACAAGGTCTGACATATCTGGATGAACCATCTCCAGAGGTTTTTGATCCATCTAGATTTCATTTCAGGTCCCCAGAGTGTTAGGCTGAAATGTTATCCACTTGGCCATCTGGTCATACCAAACCAAACTTTCCCATTATTACCTTAATCACTAGTTTGCTTGATTCTGTATACAATAATGCTGAGATTTGTTCATTTTGGAGAATTTTAAATTTATACAAAGAATAATTACTGCTTTGCTTATTTCTTTCTCAAAAAAATAAAAATAAAATAAATAAATAAAAAATAATAATAATACAGTAGAACCTCGATTATCCGACCCCCGATCAACCGACCCCTCGGTTAACCGACCATCCTAGTCGGCAAATTTCAAATGTCCGCTAGTGATGTGGCGCTACAATATTTGGCTATGTCTTGGCTACTTTAATATTATTTTTACGTGTTTTAGCTGGCAACACTCATTCGACCATGAAAGGGAGCCAGTATTTAAACGAAGCTTAATTTTCTAATTTTTAACGATACAATAGCGACGATTATTATTTTAAAAAATTTTTGTTAGGCTTAACATCGATGAAAATTCAACGCAAAATAGGTTAATAGCGATATACTAATATACTAATTACATGGGATATAATAATATACTACACTAATAATGGATTTTTTCATACTTTTCGGTTATCCGACTTTTCAATTATCCGACCAACCCCAGTCCCCAATTAGGGCAGATAATCGAGGTTCTACTGTAATATGTTTGTATGTACACATATACAGTAAACCCCCACATATAGCTAAAGGCTGTTCAAATTTACAAAAGCATATACTGTATATATATATATATAAATAACAGCATACATACATACACTAGATTGTAAAGGTGAAATTTAGATATTTCTAGAAAAAATCAAAATAACTGGAAAAATTTGTTTTAAAACAGTGTTCTTCAACCTTCAGAAATTTACAGCTGATCTGTAAAAATTTCATAGACTGGCAGGAAATTTTGTAATAACAAAATAAAAACATTTTAAACTCATAATTAATATAAAGTTTTATTTATTTTTTATTATTGCAATTGTTTAAATAAAGTTTATTATAAATCAAAATTTTATTAAAATTATTAGATAGTACTATAATTACTATATAATAATAATAATAATAAACATCCCTGATGTTACACTTAGTAGGTGTTGCAGTATTCTTATTTTATTCACATGCAAGACTTGAGAGCGTGTGATCGACATGCAAAGGAAAGCAACACCATTTCAATACACAGTAACAAGTGTCTTGTTATGGCCAGTTATGACAGTTGCACACATCACCTGCATCTAAGCAGTTTAAGTCTAAGTAAATTTATGTTAGCCTTCTGCTGGTCTGCAAAATATTATTCCTATTTTTGCTGGTCCACAGGTGTGAAAATGTTGAAGAACACTGTTCTAAAACATTTTTTGTGAGTATATAAGTACAGTAATGAAGGGCATTTCATCACAATCATTAGAAATAGATGCATTAACAATATCTGACAATATGAAACTTTTGAAAGAACACATTTACATGCTGTTGTTCTATCACTTCAAAAGTGACCAGAATTCAATGAAGGCTCACACTCTCATTTGCAAAGTGTTTATTAAAGCATTCTTAGGTAAACAAAGATCAACCAGATGTTACAAATGCCAAAGAGCCAATAATGCTGGAGAAGTCAATGATCTTAATTTGGCATCATGATGGAGCTGCTTCCAATCAACATCACTGTCATGAAAAACTCTACCATAAAATACATGGATCATTTGAACACCAAGATCAAAAAACTTTGTCGAAAAATTGACAAAGTTTTTTGACAAATCACGACAATGCACCAGCACATAGAGCAAAGATGACTTTAAAGAAGCTGGCTAGTGTGAGCTGGAAAGTTCTGCCTCAACCACCTTACAGCCTTACAGATTTGGTGCCAACTACCACTTATTTCACACCCTGCAAAACTATATTGTCAATATACAGTTCAATGATAATACCCATGTAAAACTGATGCTCAAGACTTTCTTCAAAGAAAAATCCCATTAATTCTATACGCATGAGATTGAAAGTATGCAACAAAGGTGGCAAGATGTGATTGATATTGATGGTGATTACTTACCAGACTGAACTGTAATCATTGTTGAGTTAATTGTCAATAAAGTTTTTCAAAATGTCTAAATTTCACATTCACAGTCTGATATATATGCTTGATATATATATAAACATAAATATTGAAAAATACAATTGGCTTACTAATAAATAACCATAAGACAAACTTACTGGTTTTTCTTTAAAAGTGCCATTGCCCGATTTGCAGGCAAGATAGCATTTGTGGGATCATTTTCAATTCCTATTGAATAACAAGATATTGCTTCATCATATTTCCCTTGTTTGAAATATTCATTTCCCTGTAAAAATATTGATTTATACAACATATTTACTTTATGATAAATTTAATTTTTATAACTATATGTTGCTATATAATATATCTATTACACACACATATTATATTAAATGTAAAATAAAAGCATATTAGAAAAAGAGAAAGCATGAATGACAATTCTCATAAAAGCAGAATGACTTAGCATAACAATACAATATTCAACTATAATATGATTTCATACTCTTTAATACAAGAATTCTCATTTAAGAATGCTTGTATTAAATGATAATACAGAAATAATTAGGAATATGTTCTGCTATATGCAAAACTGTATCTTGCTATTCTAATGAGAATTAGTCTTTAGGTTTTAATTCCTAATTCTATTGAAAATTAGCAGATGATAAACTTTTACAGATAATCAGTCTGTAATATCAAATCTATTTCAATAACTTTCTGATTTATTTTCATAAAGTTTAATAAAGTGAATGTAGAATATAAAACAAAAAAAATTAACCAAGTTTTTTTCTGAATAAAACTTTTCTATAAAATATGTAATTTTGTATACCAATCATAATTTATAAATTTTCTTCAAAACTCCTATTTTATGATATCAAACATTTATATTACTTATGTGCAGAATTTTATATCTTTTAAATGCTTCAGTTGTTTGAGTATGTTACAAATGATTATATCATGGGTACAAAACATGAGTTCCCAAACTTTTTTATATATTGACCTCTTTTTTAGAAGAATTTTTCCATCAACCCCCTTAAATATATACATACAGGGGTTGCTCTGATAAATTTTTAAAAATTGCCAACCATTTCACCAATTAAAAACATTTTTTTATCACTTCAAATTATTTATTGCCATAATTAATTGCCACTTATTAATGCAGGTGCTGGTAGCCTTATCAATTTGAAGTTTGGAAAGCAAAAGTAACATGTTAAGCTGTCACTTAGAAACTAGAATCATTTTTCAATAATTTTTTAATGAATAATTCCAAACAACACATTTGATCACAATGCTTAAAAAGTATTTCACACGTTCTGTCATATTAAAATTTAGAAAAGCATGATTCAATTTCACTATGAATATAGAAATAAGCAGATTTTTCTTTCCAGTATTACATTTTTATCACCACTTCAATAAAAATATTCAGAAGTGGCAATTTATATTAAAAATCATGCTTATTTTACAACGGGATTCAAAAACTATAACAAACTCACAATGAAAGTTTATATTAATAATAAAACTCTGAGAAAAACTGCTATCATCATTCTTGAAACTGCATCTGATGACAAAAATGACTATTTTTATTTTTTAACTTTTAAATATTTTGATAATCATTTCCAATATTCATAAATTTTATATGACATATATTGACAATACTTTATAAATTTTATTGAATTGTTGCAGTTACAGAAGAAGAATATTTGTAAGCTCTCCATATGTTCATTAATAAAGGGTGTCCAAAAATTAATACAGGATTTAAATTGCATGCCATTTTTCTCCCAATGAGTTGGCAGAGCTCTATGAAGTGACATCTTTTGATAAACACATTGCAGATAGTTGATATGGAGCAATATACAACGGAGGAGCATATAACAATTACCAAAACTTTTTACAGGTATGGGGAAAGCTTTACTGCTACTGTGAACAAATTATATGGCACTTTTGGTCAAAGAAATGACTGCAAAAACTGGTTTGAAAAATTGAATGATCAGGCTTGATTATGGACAACAAAAGAACTGGCTGGTTGGTTAAAAACATTCCCACTGTGAGTAATAGTGTGGCTAAGTGTCTTGAAATGTCAATTTGCCATTGGTCACTGGAATTGGAAATTTTAAGAAGCATCATGCATCAGATTTTGACAAAAGATCTGATTTTCACTCACTTAAGATTTAATTGACTCAAGAACTGAAGCCAAACAACCATTTGATGTCACATTTTCATTGATTGGTGCAAGAGAATTAGCAAGTGGATAGCAATTTTGCTAAGAAAATCATCTTTAGTGATGAGGCACATTTCCATCTTGATGTGTATGTCAACTAGCAAACTTGTCACATATGAGCATGGAAAATCCTCATGTTCCAGAATAACCAGTGCATGCCCAATTAGTAACTTTGCTGTGGATTTTGGACTGGTGGAGTAATCATTTTCAGCCTCACCTTCTTCAAAAATGAGGCTGAAAATACAGTTGCTATCAGTATCAATGGTGTACATTATCACAAGATAATAACAGAGTTTTAGTGGTCTCATTTGGACAGCATGGATTTGAATGACATGCGGTTCCAGCAGAATGGCACCACCTATCATACAGTACATGAAACAACAGAGTTGGTGCAACAGAAATTTCATGGCTGACTCATCTTAAACAATGGCAATCAGAATTAACCACAAAGATCATGTGATCTGATGCCATGCAATTTTTTTCCTCTGAGGATTTGTAAAGTCCAAAGTTTATGTCACTAAAATAAAAATGATTCCTGAATCAAAAACAGAAATTCAAAAAGCAATCAACAAAATTGAGCTGTAATTACGCGAAAATGTAATTGAAAATTTTGTCAAAAGAATAAGAGTATGTCAGAACTAGGGTTTGTGTCCCGGGACGTCTTGTGTCTCGAAGTCCCGGGACTTTTTCTAAATTTAATTGTCTCGGGTCCCGGGACATTTGGGTCAAGACTCGAGACACGCTTATGAAAATTGTATTTTCGAAATTTTATTTTCAAAAGGTTAGCCGAGCGACGCTTCCTTTGTTCTCCCTCCTGTTTACAAATAAACAACGGAGGGTAATTTACAAGGCCGTGTGACTTTTAACCTTACTCTGTTAAATGTTTGTTAAAATATTTGCACACTGGCCACCACAGCTCACAGTCGCAAAATACAGATATTTTTACTTCAAATTTAATAAAACTGCACTTATTGCCATTGCGGAAGATCTGCATTACAGACTTTTTGAAAATATCCCTCGTATCCAAACGCCAAATTTGGAAATAATGGACGCTGAATCCAGTACCAGTAGCTCTACAGTACACAACAAATCCGATGAGTCGTTTCAAAGTCAAATGGACTTTGAAACAACTCATCAAACAGGCAATCAAAAAATCGAAGAAAATGTATCCGAAATTTTTGCAAAAAGATCAAGAGCAGCATTAAAAGAGGAGTTCCAGTTATTTGAAGAAACCGGAAAACACACTGAAAGTTTGAAACTACTTTATAAAGCTTTAAACACAATAAAACCGACACCTGTTGAAAATGAAAGTGTGTTCTTCTTGTCCAGAGACATTATTACAAAAATCAGAAACAGATTGTCGGACAAACTGTAAATGCTCTGATGTTTTTAAATGCCTATTTTATTAAATCAGAAAACATGTCTAATTGTTAGTTCATTATATTATTTATGACTAATGAATAGAAACTAGGTGATGATTATTAATTAATGATTAGTATGATTGCTAAGTTGGTTTTATAATTTTAAGATTTCACTGCCAAAAAATGAATCTATGATTATAAGAATTAAACATACGAACTGTTTAGACTTTAATTAACGTTATAAATGTTAGGATTTGATTTTATGTTCAATAAATGTTGATTTTTACTAAAATTGCTTTTTTATTGATAAATCTCGCCAAAAATGAACTCGATTCTAATTTTATTCTGAGAAGTCTCGAAGTCCCGGGACATCCCGAGATTTTGATCGTGGGTTGTCTCGTGTCCCGGGACTTTGAGAATGTCGAGACTTTCCAAACCCTAGTCAGAACGGTCAAGGGGGAGCATTTGTCAGATATTCTATTTCATATTTAATTGCAATGTTTACACTTTTAAATGATCTAACAACTTTGCTAATTAATGAATAAATAAAATGTTCTTTATAGAATTTAAATCTTGTAAATACTTTTGGGACACACTATAAAAGGAACATTAAAAAGTTTACTAAATTGATATATAAATGAAAATTATTTTCATCCTTCACATTATAGAATTGTTATAATAGTAATAATATTAAAATAAATATTAAAATCAAACATCTATTAAGAATTCTAAAATTTTTAAATTAAAAACAATTTAATAATTACAAAATGTTGGATAATTACCTTATCCTTTTCTAAAAGTGCTTTTTGTTTCCTCTGTTCTGTTTCTAATTCATCATCACTATTATCATCACTATTATCAGCATCTTCACTAGTACTTGAATTTTTATCATCGTCAATTTGCTTTAATGCTTCATCCTCAAAAAATTAAATCACTTTTGTTATGAATGTAATCTATTGAGGTTGTCACGCAAAATCAAAGACATTACAATCAGCATTAAAATTAATTATAAAATAAATATTTCCTTACTACATCAAACTTATCCCATGAAGAATAATCAAAACTTGAAATTCTTTTATTCTTTGCCACACTTCCATTATTATTTTCTGTTACAGCTTTCTTTTTCTTTTTTCTACATTTCGAAACTTGATTTCTAATTGGTGGTAATTTCTATAATAAATACATTTAAAACTTCTTGATTCTGTTTGTGTTCAATAACTTTACATAAAATATATAAAAATTTTTAAATATACCAAATATTCAATTACTTAAAATACTTTAGATGTGAAATATAAATCAAATTCTACTGGAAATTTTAGGTTATGATTATTTACTTCGTTACTGTAAACAAAAAAAGTTCATTTGAACTTTATTGTAAATACAAAAATTTATTTAATGAAATTTTAAGTTTATTACAATGTTACAAGATCAAATGATTAATACTGTATAGTATCTAACCTATTCAGATCTGTATTCCCCATCAAACAAACTAAAATACAGTAATACCTCGACTTACGCCACCCCGACTTACGCGTTTTTCAAATCGTGTCGATTCATCTTTTGTTTGAGCACCACGCAACTCTTGATTACTCACTCCCCCCACACTATTGTTCAGCTTACATGTTCGGACGTGTCATGCGGAATTGACACATAGCTACAATTTATTTTGTGTTATTTATTTCTGTTTGTTATATCTACAGAGCCTTCAGAGACTCTATGTGGTGATTTCTTGTAACCGTGAATGAATCAAAAGAAGAGATAAGATTAATGAGAACATTTATTAGCTTACATACATCCGACTTGGATTTTACACGAATTGTGAGATTATACCCCGACTTACGCGGTTATTGCTCAGTCCCACCTATCGCGTAAGTTCGGGGTATCACTGTACAAAAATGTTGAAGCATTAAGGAGTCCTTGTATATTTTAGTCACGATTAAATGTTTTTCAAGACATTTCATCTCATCATCAGATCACAATAATAATTATTTCAAATAAAATCAGTCTTTTCTTTATTATAATGTCTCATACAAAAACTTTATTTTAACTAATTGTACTGAAACTGATATTGTTTTATTTACTGTTTAAAAATGCAATTAGTCTTGAAATTTTAAGATACAACAATCTCATTACTAATACTTCTCTATACCTCATCATAATACATAAATATTTCTAAAAATTGTCACAATGAATTTAATTTCTCAAAAAAAATTTCAATGAGCAATAAAAATAAACATCATCATGACAAAAAAGTTCCACAATTGATGCTATATTTGTAAATAATTATGTAAATTGATTGGGACAGTTCTGCCGAAGATCAACCATAGGAAATATCAACCATATATTAAGCTCCAGGCTCCAACCATAGCCCATAGAGAAAGAACTATGGTAAGAAGAGATTTTGTCAATTGTGGAAATTTTTTGTCACGATGCAAACATTTTTATTGTTTGTTGAAATTTTTTACATTGTTTACTATACAGCTAATACATATAACAGCTTTAAAAATAAAATTGTATTGTATTGTACTGTAGTTAATTTTAATATTAATGATTGGTCTCATATTAAGTTAAATGATAAAATGTAACAAAAACAAATTCTTCTGTAATACATATTATTTTGGAAAATCTTTTATGGTGTTTTATTTCATAGTGGTTCCTCCTATTTCTGCTGCAATATTCTGCAGTCACCCGAAAATCATTTTTCATAGGTGATCACCCAAAAAAAATAATTTTGACAAGTCTTTTTTTTTTTTAACAGTTCTGCCCTGTGGGCACTAAGAGAGCATCTTTTAGCAAGCCCATTATGGGTTCGGCCAGCCCATGACAGGGTGACCAGATGAGAAACGAGGCCAGACACATCCGACAAACCGCCACTTGAAAAATTCCCAGAGCGTTTTTGACCCATCTGGATTCAATCCTGGGTCACATAGAGTGATAGACTGCCACCTCGACCAGAGCTTGACCTATTTGGTACAGACCCAGTCGGACAGGGCAGACAGATCAAGCTCACCACTAAATTGTAGACTGGTCAAATCTGCTTTGAGCACAAATGAAATGTCCTATTAATGCTCACAGGAAAAAGAGTTTTTAAAAAAAATTCATTTTAGTGACATCAGCCACTCGCTCGGCATAGTCACAGTTAAAAGTACTACAGCATTTACGCACTCGGTTTATTGAACTCACGGCCAAGCTTTTATGTAGTACAGTGAGTGATTGATTAACGAACATAATCCGTTCCAAGACTTTGTTCGCTACCCGAATTGTTCGTTAACCAAATCAATTTACCATAGGTTTTGATGGGAACCTATGAATTGGGTCTTCCAGAATGAATTAATCATTCTGGAGGACCCAAAAAATATATATCATGTCTTACTACGTTTATTTATACGTAATAATAAAAATACATATATACACAGTCTTGCATTTTTATTAGTCACGTTTTTTCCGTTTGTGGGAGTTAAGGAATCCGTCCAATGTCAATTACTTTTCTCTCTTCTTTAGGATATTTCAGAAGTAATCAATAGCATTGTCATTGTAGAGAACGAGTACCCACCCGACAGTCTCGTGAAGACTATAAAAAATTATTTGTCAGAAAGATAAAAGGCCGAAATTTAAAAATTTGGAGGAATACTATCCAATCGGTATCGGATCGAGCGTCGATGCAGACGTCTCCCACGATCGAAAAGGTTTCGAATTGTCACCCAAAGACAAGTGAAAATCAATCGGTATTTGTTATTTTCCGTCACTTTTTTAATGTTTGTTCCGTGAAGGGTTCGTTATCTGATTTGTTCACTATCTGAACTGTTCGTTAACCGATCGCCCACTGTACAAGTATAGTAGTATATTCACTACAGATTGGCCTCGAATAATCAAAGTTCTACCGTACTTCGTTTACGCCACATATTAGAAAATTACCAAAAGTCGAATAATTTTATATAAAGTATAGAATTCAAAAATAAAATTTTGTAGTATTTAACATTCTTAACATTAATTAATAAGTAAATCAAATTTTGGTGTTATATAAACCACGTGTCATTACGATCAATATTCTTATTTATCTATCCCTCTTTGTATACTAACTGATGAAGTAAAATCACTAGCAATACTTGAATCTAAGCTTTTCTTTTTTATTTTATACGTAGATTTTTAATTACGTAATATAAAAGGTTCAATTCAATCTCTTAACGAGACGTAGATCATTATTTAAACATTGTAATATATTAAAATAATCAACGAATAATGTCTGAAAAAGAAAACGTGTGTAAAGCGTAAACAATATAAAGAATAGAGTCAAACATTACGTTTTCATCGGATAATTTCTGGACATTGAGTTCCCGATCTCTCTTCTTTGCATCCGTTTCCCAATTTTTTAAGTCCCTCAGAAAATCTTTTAACTCTTCGCTATTTTCTTTCGCTTGATGTTGCACGCGAATAAACTTATCCTCCTCCATTTCGTCGTGACAATCACTAAAATGATGATAATCTCGACTACAGATTGAAACGGTGCTTTTTTAACCACGTGATTCCTAAAACCTTATATCATTGGACCGTAAAATAATATAATATATAAATTTTAATACGTCGTTTTAACCAATTCTAATAAAATTCGTTTACGTTTTAATAGTATTTTTAATAATAATAATAATATAAAAAAATAATAATTTAAGTACTTAATTGTTTTTTATCGATTTATTTTCAAACTCTAGTTTCGTCATTTTAACGAAATAGTGTCGCCATCTATCGACAATTATTAATAACTTTTTCACTATTTTTATAACCTATATTACATTTTTAATTTAAGTTTTAAACTTTTAAATAAATTATAAAAATTTGAAATATATTATTATAATAAATTTGGATGATTAATTTGATTCTGTGGTTCTATATTTGTTTATATATAAATTGTTTTTTTTTTCCTCCTAAAATTCTCTAATTTGTGACGAATTTTTTTAAAAAGAGAACTTTTTAAAGTATCTATATGAGGAGATATTACAATATAAAACCGAAGAGAAAGGTGATGCAGACAATGTAACGTTTAATAAGATTAAAACAGATTATCAATACTCGAACAACTGCATTCAGAAGGTAGAACGAAACCTTTAGAATACAAACCTTTGGTCATTTTATTATAAAAGAAATGTGATTTTATATACTATTGATGGAAGCTACGAATGACTTTATAAAAAAAACACGCCATTTTTCGTCAATTTTTTATATATTTCTGACAGTTACTCGCGAAATTATAAGGTAAATTCTATTTTGTAAATATTTATAATTACTGATTGTATTTATAACGTGTTTAAAATTATAAAAAATACAATACTTTAACGATTTTAAACATTATTTTTAATTTAAGTGCGGATGGAAATATGACCTACAAATGTTGAAACGGGGTAAAGATCGCCGTAATTGGGGATGTGAAATGTCGCCTAGAAGTAATGTTATTAATGAAAACGTTTTATTTTATATATTTAATATTATTTTGCTTTATTTTACAAAACAGGTAAGTTTAAATCGTATGTTATAGCGTTTATTAATAGCAATTAATTTTTCAATACAGTCGACCCCCTCTATAACACTATTGATTATTCCGTTTTATATGAATTCCATGTTGTACGAGTCACTTAGATTTTACAAATAAGTGTGTTGGGCTGTGAACGGCTCACGTATTTGTAAAATCTAAGTGACTCGTAAAGCATGGAATTCATATAAAACGGAATAATCAACAGTGTTATAGGGGATCGATTGTATTTAAAAAAAAAAAAAATTTTATAGTAGTAATCAGACAGAAGATAAAGTAAATTATCCAGTAACCAATTCCATTCGACATGAAAGGAAAATAAGAAACATGACGGATCACATCTTAAAGAAAACATCCGTTTGTCATAGAAAAGTTAAACAATGCAGAAAGCATTCTTCGGATATTCGTTTAATAATCGTAGGAGACGATCAGTTGCAATTTTTAGATGGAAAAATTCAAAGAGGAAAATGTAAAGTAACCGTCGAATCTATTAAAGGATTAACGATATCTGCCGCAGAAAAAAGACTATATGAAATAACTTCAAAGATCAATAGAAACGATATTATGATAGTGCATTGTGGTTCTAATGATATAATACCCGAATTAAATAAATCTGCAGCTTTAGTTAGCCAAAAATTAAAACAACTAATCGATCGTTTTAGAAGAAGAGAAGAAATTCGTATGGTCATTTCTAGTATCTTACCTAATTACGAAGATTTCAGTAACTTTAATCGAGTGATCAGGGTTATTAATACTGTAGTTAAGCAACACGCTTTAAATGTGGGCATAGACTATGTCGATCATACTCAATACTTTTGGAAAGATGGAAAAATAAAAGAGGATCTGTATAATTTTGATGGATCCCTAAATGAAGATGGAAAAAGAATTTTCGAGGATAATCTATTAGATAATGAAATCTGTGAAAGAAAAGAACTTCGTTTGAATTCGCCAATTATAAATGGGTAAGAAATATATTTTTTTAATAGCTACGATTACTTCTTAGTGATTTATTAACTAATATTTTAAAAAGTACACTCAATACCTAATTAAAAACACAAGAAATGATTAATATTATCGTTATTTAAAACATTTATAGTGTTAGGCTCGTATAATTTATTACAATATTTGTACAAGAAATAATAATAACAATAAATTTTAATAAACTGAAGGTATAGGTTTATAATTTATGTTAAAATTTGCCATAATTCTATTGAATTATTCAATAGAAAATAATGTTTGGAGATACCACCAAGTGTTGATACTAGACACTTTACCACATCCACTTTATTTTCCTATGTACCTAACACATTGAAATGTGTATTTAATATATCTAAATGAATGTAAAGTCTTTGTTGTTAAAATTTTATATAAATAATTTCAGATATGAGAGTAGAGCAGCTTTAGAACTGAAGGATATTCTTCCTCTGGATAGAAAAATGTACGATAAATTCTTACCGCCGAAACAAAATGGTAAATCGTTACTCTTTTAAATAATGAAATTCTGATGATAAATTCTTTAATTAAATATTTAATATTGAAGGTCATCCTACTGTAGTTGACTTTCATGTAACTGTATTGAGCGTAGATTCAATCGACGAAGAATCAATGGTATAAAACTTTAAAATGTCATTATATAAATAAAAATTTAATTGATTACTTTAAAAACATTAACTTTTTCTTTAGACGTATGTGACAGACATATTTTTAGCTCAAAGCTGGAAAGACTATCGCCTTCGTTTACCAGAAAATATGACTGAAGATTATAGGATCCTGAATGTTGAATGGCTGAAATATATTTGGAGACCCGATAGTTTCTTTAAGAATGCCAAGAAAGTTACATTTCATGATATGACTATTCCAAATCACTATCTGTGGTTATATCACGACAAATCGCTTTTATATATGGCAAAGTAAATAATTTTTTTTTTGTAAAAATGTATATATTTAATCTTAAATTTATTATTATTATTAATAATTTGTTTTGCAGATTAACACTAGAATTGTCTTGTGCTATGAAGTTCGAAGCTTATCCTCACGATACTCAAAGCTGTTCTATGATGATAGAAAGTTGTAAGAAATGATTACGTTATTCATATTTTTTCGTTATTTCGATTTATAAATTAAAAATAATTTCTCTAAAGTATCGCATACAACAGACGATCTTATTTTTCGTTGGAACGAATCATCGCCTTTAGTTGTTAACACAGAAATCGAATTACCACAATTGGATATTGTGCACAATACTACTGAATATTGCACATTACAATATTCTACAGGTAAAACACAATTTATTACTGTGTCTTTTTTTTATCTCGTTAGGATATTTACTTGATAGTAATGGAGTTTCAATTTATGTTTCGTTTTATAGGAAATTTTACTTGTTTGGCTGTTGTATTTAATTTAAAACGTCGTCTAGGTTATCATTTATTTCACACTTATGTCCCTACCACATTGATCGTTTCTATGTCGTGGATTTCTTTCTGGATTCGTCCGGAAGCAATACCAGCTCGTGTGACTCTAGGAGTGACTAGTCTCTTAACTTTAGCTACACAGAATACTCAATCTCAATCCAGTTTGCCTCCTGTTTCTTATATTAAAGCCATAGATGTGTGGATGTCATCGTGTACAGTTTTTGTATTCATGTCTTTAATGGAATTCGCTTTGGTTAATTATTTTATGGGATACACTGGAGCTAATCAGATGATGAGGGGATATTCAACAGAAGACATGGAAGAAAAGGTCAAGAATTATTATTATTATTATTATTATTATTAACTTAACTAATTTGCATAATTCATTTATCATTTTCATTCCAAGTATAGGAGATTATAATTAATTAAGTTCGTGACAAGTGTATACAATTAATATTGTTACTTTTAAGCAAATCAATAAGTAAATTTAATTACTTGTTTCTAAATCGGGATTTTCGTTATAATTTTTCTAGATTTTGAGAAGATTAAGTGGAGAATATAAGAGGCGTTTATCAACTCCTCCTCCTCCAAGAATTCAAAGAACTTGTTGTGGAGATTTAGATGTTGCTTTGGCAATCGATCATTTTTCACGTTATTTCTTTCCATTGTCCTTCGCGATATTAAATATAGTCTATTGGTTCACTTATGCTTATCCTTGGTAATTGTAACTCGAGTTATAATGTAATATTTCTATGATTTTCAAACATTCAGCATCCTTAAACTCTTCTTACTAAATCTGATTTTTACAAATCTTACAAATAAAAACAAAATAAATGTAGAAAAACTATTGAATTCATAATATTTTATATTGTCAAAATTTTTCTATTATTTTATATTGTCAAAATAACAATTTTATTAGAAATATTGTTGTAGAATCTCTGAAATTGTAAAGGATTCCAAAAGATATTCAAGCTTCAATGTTTATGTAATACATTAAAGAGCTTAACACATGACAATATATAATTTATAAATAAAAATTATTTTCTTTTTAATTTACTTTCATTTATAATTATAATATACATTTAACATTTTCTTTATTATTGTTTTCTTAAATTTCTATTCAATTTTTAAATCATTCTTTCAATAATATTAACTGATTTCTTTGGTATAAAAATAATAAAAATAATTATTTTAAACGTGTTTATAATGAGAAATAACTGAGAAAGTATGGCCTAATTATTTAAATATTTGTTTTCGTTCGAGTCACACTGTATTTTAACATAATACAATATATAGTATGAATTTATTTATGTGTTGAACATTGTTTTATATATATTATATGATTATATATCACGTAGTAATGACAAGTATTTTGAGGAAATAGTCATTTTAATGTAATAATTTGATTGATAATCTATAGGTTTAATTTACTAATAAATATTACCTCTAAATTAAGAGTCCCACGCCATTCTTTTGATTAATTATAAGGATATGTGCACGCTCAAATATTCTTCTAAATTCTTATTATTTTCTTGGAAAAAGTTCGCACATATATCGCAACTAAATAGCAAGGTTGCGGCCGAAGTTTTCATCTTTAAAACGTGAACGTCGAACGTCGAGCGCCGCTTACAAGATAGCGGCGCTCGACGTTCGACATTCACGTTTTAGAGATGAAAACTTCGGCCGCAACCTCACTAATAATCTTATTTTCAATAATGATTTTATTATTTCTTGGGGGTTATGAAGATAATTTACAGTTCGATTAAACGAACTCCAGTAAAACGTTTGCTCGCTTTATCGCATGAAAATTAACGTTGTGGCAATGGCATTTTCCAGGGCAACGACAAAATTCGCTTTATCGATGTTCGTTTTAAGACGAGTCAACTGTATACAGTTTAATGACAATACTCTTATGAGAATGACACTGAAGATTATCAAAGATAAACGCGTCATTCTATGCTCACAGTATTAAAAATTTTTCAAAAGTGGCGAGATGTGATTGATATTAATGGTAACTACGAGACTGAACTGTAATCGTTGTTGAGTTAATTGTCAATATAGATTTTTTCAAAATGTCTAAATTTTACCTTTACGACCTTGATACTTCTATTTTTATTTAATTCATTAGTTCATTCGACAAATTCAATAATCGATTTATTCGTTTTAATCATAGTTTTATTATGTCTTTTAAGTTTTTCACTTATATGAAACAAATCCGGAAGTTTTAATTACAACTATTTACGTCTTCAATTTAAACATAGTTTATCATAAAATATCAAAATTAAGGAATAAAGTTTGACGATTATTTTTAATTAATTGAAGAATGACAAACTAGCCAATCCAATATTCTTAGTGAATTCATTTCACGGACATATTAAGTGCAGTATTATGTTGTTATTAGGTATTATGTATTAGGTATTATGTTGTTATTAAGTGCAGCATTATGTTGTTATTAGGGAAGTGAAGAGATTTTGTATATCTCATTTTAATGGCTCTTTGTTTTTCCATGTATTCATTTTACATATGAAATCTTAAATTATTTTCGATACACTAAAATACATCCTTGAAAATATGAAGCCGCTGAAAAGTAAGGGGGAAAATGTTATAACTGAATTTTCTTTAATTGAAATAAGGTAATAAAAGATAGCCCACCAGTGGCCGAGTGGTCTTCGTACCCTAAACACTAGGAGTTCTGTCGTGGGTTCGCGCCGCGATCGGACAGGCTAGCTGCTTCGAGTTTTCTCCTTGCCAATAACGACTAAATAGGAGGCTAGTTCCCCATAAAAATCCTCCCGGAAGGCATTTGTTCCCCTCGCGTAATATCGCGCCCCAGAGAAGGCAACAGNTGAAATTAATTTTTATAAGTAAAAAAAAAATTTAATATATTAAATAATTTATTACAAGTAAAAAATAACGTAAATAATATTTTACTAGCTTCCTTATTGTTATAATAAAAATAGTAAAGATAAATAAATAAATAAAAAATAATAATAATAATAAGCAGTGGTTTTCTCATAATGTCATTGGTGCTGTGTGTAAGGGTACAACTGTAACCATGGTAACTAATATAACCAGCACCATTACTGCTTTGGCACATGGGGTGCACCTTTCTGATTTTGTCTGGACATTTTGACGTACCACATTAGAGGTAAATTTTTATACGTTTTTATATATTAAACGTTTATTTATTAATGGAATTTAAGAAATAACTTTTTAAAAACTTATTCGGTAATAAAATTTTTCAATTGAAATAATTATTTTTAGAGATTATAAGCATTAAAATGGTCTGTAGTAAAGACAAAAGTATGTTTTTTTTTTTTTTTTTTAATATTTATATACGAATTCTAATAAACTAATATATTAGAATTATTACACTTATTTCATTATAAAAGAGAAATATTTTGTGATTCGTAGCTTTTAAAATAGGATTCTAATTAATAAGACATCTTGGTTATTTATTTATTTATTTTTCGGTAAGTTCGTTACAATGAAACACACCTATTTAAATTAATTTGATATTGTCAAATATTAATTATTAAATATTATGAATGGATATAGTTTTTAGAGATCATTTACGGGTGTTTTTTGTTGCTAAGGCAACTAATGCTGATTATTATGATGCATAAAAAGTAATCAATGTATTATTTTGAGAGTGTAACGGCCGAATTTGATACCTAAAATAATCATATTTTATTTTACAATTTTCTTTAAATAAATACTTAAAACGTAGGGAAATGAAATATAATTTGAATTATCGATGTAAGTAACTATGGTAACAATAGCGGTATTGAGTTTAATATAGAATTACTAAATTAACTAATCGTTATAAAAGAAAAAAAAAAATATGTATACATAACTAAAGTATCGTTTGATTTTAGATTTGTTTCCAATTTATACTTTCGTTATTAAAAGAAATAATTATTTTTTAACACAGTCTAATCTATACTAAATGTTAAAGAACTCTATTGTGTTTTAACACTTAGTAGAGTTTTATTAAGGTGTTAAATAAGCTCGTATGTATATGTGCCTATTTCTAGACTAAGGGTTAAACATTATTATATATATATATATATACATTTAAGTACTAGTAGGACTACTTATAAATGCAATTAGTCCATTCATATTAAATGAATCCGGCTCTATCAATCTATTTCTCATAATTGTATATCTTTCATTTCCACGCTTATTCACGCATTAGCATATGAAATATAAAGTATATTAAGAGTAAAATTTAGAAATTACTATTTATATTCTCTAAAATTATATTACAGAAGTTATCTTGAGTAGATTTTTCAGCATAATCAAATGTAAATTTTACTTCATGATATAAATGTTCTTTGATCTATTCCCAGAAATGCATGTTTCTAACCCACTTAATTGATCTTTATTATGCGGAAATGTCATAATAAATTGTCTAGAATTTTAACAAATATATCCAAAAAACTATCTCAAAATATTATATATAGTAACTGCACAATTATATCGTATAATCGCTTGTTTTATAACGTAAATTATAGCCATCAGCTTGTTTTCATCTCAATTCCTAGGAGTAAGTTTTTAATACAATTCCATAGAATTTTTCTTTCTATAGTGAAATTTAATCGCTGTATAATGTAGTGCTAAATAACATTTAAAATACGATTATAAGTTATGTTAATCTGCATAAATATGATGACTAATTTATACATAACTAATTTATTTTATAACTTATTTTATGCGTGTTTTATAAGCATATGTGTTTTTATAACTTTCGCATTAATTATTTAAGATAAAAATATAAAGATTTTAAATGTTAAATTAATAAATTATGAAATTATAGAAAAAATTATTAGTATGGAAAAAGCATAAAAAGCTACACAACAAAGCGTAAATCAATAAGCAGATTACAACACATTTTCTCTAAACGGGCCTCAAAATGTATAGATTTATATTTGTCGGCTACTGTATTTTTTTTAATATAAATCTATATAAGGCCCCCCTTATATACAGTCGATCCCCTATAACACTGTTGATAATTCCGTTTTATATGAATTCCATGTTGTACGAGTCACTTAGATTTTACAAATATGTGTGCCAGGCTGTGAACGGCTCACGTATTTGTAAAATCTAAGTGACTCGTACAACATGGAATAAATATAAAACGGAATTATCAACAGTGTTATAGGGGGGTCGACTGTATATAATAAATTAGAATAAATAATTGAAATATAAGGACAAAAAAAACATCTATTACTAATACAAATGTCATTAGGCATAATACACGATTCGCAATATTAACCATCCAGACTATTTAATTCGTTTTCAAACTTACAAATTAAATATTTTATAGGCGTAATCAATAATTAATTGTTTTGCTAAAACTTCATTAACCATTTATTAATTTAAACCATTTTTGTCCCTATTATAATTACGATAAGGGAGCCTCTGCCAAATATATAATTAACAAAGTTGGATGATGAGATGGATAGAATATAATCATCATAATGCTTCTAATCTTTTCATGATTTTTTATATTCATTTTAATATATATATTTTTTTCTAATTATAATATAAATTAGAACATATTTTTAAATTAATTAAGGAATGCAATTTATAATAAGATAAATAGGAATATAAACAATTTTTACATTGTAACGTTACGTATCTGCTTCAATGACTAAATTATTATCATTGAATATTAAATATATAAATAAATAATGTATATAAAATATTATTTTAAATGTAATATATATTATTAATTCTTTATTTAATAATATAATATCTTGATCTAAAATTACTTTAACAGAATGATTTGAGAGACAGTAATCTGCTCGTGTTATACGTTGCTATATTACAAAGGGAACTTATTAGTTAAATTTA